TTACCCTTTACTATACTTGATGGACGTATCATTATAATCTCATGTTTAATATGTAATTTAGCATACTGCAAAGCAGAATAAGAAGGCTGAAAATGAGCAAAAAATGCATATATCATTCATTGCCTGCATCATGCTCTCTCCCCCGTAGCCGTGGAAAGGGAAGCTACGAGATGCCAGCTTCTCTCTCCACTCAACGCTCTTCTTGCTAAGACAGGGCATTCCTGCTGACAGAACGTGTAACCATTTACTTTGGTTTTAAAATGTTCTTTTTTATAGCAGTGTATTATGTTATCTGCAGCTTAGCTACTCAGCATAACACTGCTATTCAAACAAATAAATCTTGCTAAGCCAAGGAGAATGTGGTAAAGGATATCCAATTATTTTATCTTTCTTTTCTTGGGGAGGAAGAAGGGGTGCTCAGGGCTCTCTTTTCAAGTGTATTGTAAAATCATCTTAACCTGTGTTTATTGTTTTGATTTCCCTATTAAGGTTTAATTTGTCTTTAGGTTCCTTAGTTTTATCTGATTCTAAACTCCTTAATTAAGTCCTATAAGGGGCCCAAGGTCACAACTTGATGTTTTGCTTTTGTCACACCTTGTGTCTTCTTTGTCTGAAGAATTGGTTGCAATATTCACTGTTGAGTTTGTACCAGCTGATGGAGGTGGTGGTGAATATTTACTTTCTTTCATTAATTAGTTTCCCTTCTTAAGAGACCCATGAAATAATGTAGCCTGGTATTAGGGTCATTTTATGGTGCTTTCTACTGCTATTTGACTTTGGACAAGATGCTTCTTCATTCTGAGCTTCTTGGCCCTCAGTTTGAAAAATGGAGCCATATCACAGGTGACATCTGTTCTTTGAGCTAGTGAAAAACAAATAAGTGAGTTTAAAATTTGTCTCAGGAGCCTAAAAGAAAATTTATTTTTAGATAGGTCTATCTATTTAACTATAGTAACTATTAAAACAATACATTTTAGGGCACCTGGGTGGCTCAGATGGTTAAACGTCTGCCTTCGGCTCAGGTCATGATCCCAGGGTCCTGGGATGGAGTCTTGCATCAGGCTCCTTGCTCAGCGGAGAGTCTGCTTCTCCCTTTCCCTTTGCCTCTTCCCCTGCTTGATCTCTCTGTCTCTTTCTCTCTCTCAAATGAATAAATAAAATCTTTAAAAAAAATACAGTTTATTGTTTAAACAATATATATTTAAAACAATATAATATTCTCTTGCAATTTGGCTTGGTGCAAATTTAAATCAGCTAGTAAATTTTGACGTAACTGATTCTGGTATATTTTTAAATCCTCAAATACATTATAATTATTATAATATTATTATCATTATTATTTTAAATAACTTTCAAATATAACTGGCAAACTAGGTGTCAGAGTGACTGCAAATGAGGAAACCTGGATTTTATTCCTCATTTAAAATATTCATATTTAAGATTTAATGATTAATTACAAAGAAGTCTGAAATTTTCCAAAAGTTTGTGTAGTTGGGAAGATATTTTAAACCTTCCTATTTATTTTAACACATAATACTTTTTCATAGCATAGCTTTGTCTACGGTTACTGTTCTTGTGGTGTTTATGGCTGTGACTAAGTACCTGAAGGGTCTGTCTGATTGCCCAGTGCATGCATGCCTTCCCCTTTCCTTGTCACAGCCCACCACCATGCCATTAAGCTTGCTTCATAAATGCAAAGTCGTTTTCATGTGAGCCTCAGTAAAACGTAATCCCTTCAAGTGTTAAAAATAACAGCATGCATCTCTTTTGGGTTATTTGTATCAGCTTTGTTTTACACAACATGGATGTTCAGGAGTTGGTTGCATTCTGGATTGAAAAAGTCCACTCAAATCTTTGTTCATTTGTAAAAAAGATGTGGGGATCTTAAAAGTCCAATAGTGTGGTTGCTCTAGAATTACTGGAAAACATAAAAGAGCAATATAAAGTACAAAACCATATACATACTTTAAAAAGGCAATAAATGGAAATTAGGTTTTTTTTGGCAGAGTGGTTGGTGGGAGAGATTTTAATCATTACTCATCCTATTTTTGCAGCAACTGTTTCTCATCAGGTCTAAGATGCTGTTGATTGTAACATGCATCCCAATTTCAGTGACATTAAAGTATTTTAAAAATGTGGCTGTAGAATGGATGAAATGTGGTAAATGCAGATTTTCTGTGCCCTAGGATCTCTGGGAAACTTTATACCATGTAGAGCAAAAGTAAATATGTGCTGGGTCTGTATTAGCTCCTTTTAATTTTGTTTATAGTGAAGTAAGTTTTGATTTTTTAAAAACAAATTGACACTAACATTTAGGTGACCTTGTGTATCTGCCCAGAGTGTTCTAGTGAGGCCTAGTGGTTCAAACTCAGGCTATGAGAATATAACAGTCTAATTTAGGGTTAGAGAATACTCATGTTTGAAAATGGAATAATAAGACATAACATGACCTTTCATCTGAAATATGCCCCTGATGTACCTCTTCTGTTTTTCAAGCTCTCTGAAGATGAATTATGAAAATTCTTATCAGTAGAACTAGTTTAAGTGTCAACTATATGTAAAGACCTGCAGGTAATTAATATGAATAAAATGTGCCACAAACTCAAAAGAGACCTTTGAGTGACTAAGGATTCTCATTATCTAGGAAAGTTTCTTTATCTGCTACCTAATTCCTTTGCTCAACTCATAGTTTAAATATATCCCCCCACCCCCGCCATGGTCAGTAGTGATAGAAACTCATTTATAATAATCTGCGGAAGAGAATAAATCTGATTGAGTCTCTGGGTAGCCAACTTCTTTTTTAAATGAGTTGTGTGAACCTGATTCTAGTATAGGATCTGGTGATGGAGACCATGGAAGCCCAGATATTAACTATCTTGCCACATAGATTGACACTGGTTTTGTGCAGGGTCAGTGAAGATACATCTGGAGCAAGGACAAAATAAGTAAGGCTAGAGAATGTGGGAAAAGTGGATTATCTGGGGCCACAATGATATGGGTCGGTGGCCTGGTCTTGTGGGCGAGGAAGAGTTGCCAGACAGCTCCAGATAGTAATTGAGACACTTTGCATTTTAGTCTGCCTCCTAGACCCGACTTTGCAATAGGAGGCTTACCTCGGTTTCCTGTCATGGTTATCTGTCCTGTGCCTCTCCAGAGGGTAATGTTCATACAGACAACATACAGAGATGACAAGTACATTTGCAATTATTCGTATACACCAGCATAGCTGGTGCATCTATTATTAGGCCACTTTCATGTTAAAATTTCCATTATTATGACATTTCAGTTTGGCATTTTAAAATTACTTCTCTGTCCCTTTTCATCTGTTATATTTGAGTGACTCAGATGTCCCACATCAGAAGTGTGTTGGACATGGGGGGGGGGATGAAACAGACACAGTCACTGTCCTCAAGGGTTTCACAGTTTAAGACAAAGAGAAAAACTCAGCCCAGAGAGAGAACTAGCCCAGCTAGCCAAGAGACTTCTTTACTTCTTTGTTAGTAACACACAAAGCAGAATCCTGCCTCAGGAAGATTAGGATTCCACTGATCCTCTAAGGCAGTAGGTAAGGTTCTGGAAGTTCTGTGATATACTCAGGTGATACTGGCTCTTTGTGTTCCCAGGGCTGTGTTCAGATCCTCAGATTAAAAAGGTTCTTCTTACTATTTCCCCTTAGAGAACAGAATTGTCATTTAGAGATCAGCAACTGGGGGAGGTTAGCCATCTGCTATGTAGAAAGGGCCAAAGAGGTTTCTGTGAATTGAATTAGGATTCCCCTCCCCCACCAGCACTGCATAGTGATTTTTGAAAAAGAGGGACTCTGTGGGCTCAGTGAGGGAACTGTTTTAAATGGGAGTCTATGCAGGACTGTTTGCTGGTGTTTGAACCTCTTGGTAAATAACTTGCTGTTGCCTTGATTTATTATCTTTTTTATCTTGACTACTTTGGAAAATACCATTAGAAGTTTTGAGATTTTGCACAGCTGCTCCATCCATATCTGGAGATACCTTTTTGAAGAAAGGTGAGATTTCAAGGCAAGATATAAAACCTTACAGAGGTTATTTGGATCTCTCGAGTTTATGTCCATTTGTTTTTAGACAGAATTTGCTGAAGTAAAGATCTCTGTATAAATCTGTGACTGTATTATCATAGTCAATTCAGGTATATAAGTTAACATCTGTTACAAATGTTGGTCCAAACATGCCATATTGACTGAAAACATACCTGTAGGAAATTTCATTCAAGGTGTGCAATTATAATTTAATTTTTTAGTGGTAAGTCAGGTTATGCTCTTCTCTTTCCTTTTCATCCCATTTACAAATCAGCCAAAGCATAGAGCTAAGGAGGAAGAAGGGATGAAGAGCAAGAAGGAATCACGTACTTAAGCACTCAGAAAGTTTTAGCTTGGATTCATTTTTGGTTGAAACACAGTACAAGTGTTATGTTTAGTTTCCCCTGCTCTAAAATAGCACTGTTAATTTTTTCATTTGGTGAATTTTCACACAAGTGCTAATCACACGTTTCTATAAATTATATTAATTTAACTTATTTCCCTAAATGTTGTTCTGCAGTGTGTAGCACGGATGTTCTCAGATTCTTGGCTGTGTAAGCTTGTTGCAGTTGGAAGCAGAACAGAAACATCTGAAAGGCATTATTTGAATTACCCATGCTGGAGCATCTGATCTCACCTTTTACTCTGGTTCCTAAATCACAACTGTTCTTTCCCTTTGTATCTAATCTGTATGTCCTGCCTCCTCCATCTTTGACATTGCCCCAAGGTTGTTTTTTTTGGAGAAAACACTGTCATCATACAAGTAGAAGTTAAAGAAAGAGCAAATTTAGGTAATCATATTTGATGTTTGATAGTTTAGTTTGTAGAAGGATGACTACTTCAGATTTAAAAGACAACGGAGATCGGTGTGGGTGATACTTCTTATCCCTAAAAAGGAGTACTCGTTTATGAAAAATGTAACTATTATGTTTTTTTTTTTTCTTTTCAGAGTATGATTTCATCCATTGTAAATAGCACATATTATGCCAACGTGTCAGCAACCAAGTGCCAGGAGTTTGGGAGATGGTATAAGAAGTACAAGAAGATTAAAGGTAAACTGATGTTTCGTTTTTGAAGCCTATTTTTAGTGTCTTAGGGCAATGAATTTTTGGTTCTTTGGAGTTCATGCTAATTTTAGGTATACATTTTTATAGAATTATATACAATTTTTACAAAGGTAAGATTCTTAATATTTCCATCAGGAGATCCTAATTAGCTCCCTTAAAACTAAGATGGTATTAGAACTAAAGTAAAATTCATAGCATAATAAATGAAGTTGATTGTCTTCACAAGAGATGCATGTGAAGGCCAAGATTTTTAGAAATACTTGAAATGATTTATTCCAGGTAAGCATGTCTATTTAAAAAGCTCAGTCATTTAATCACTGGAAATTTAAAAGCAGTCATTATAGGTTAAGTCAGCACTTATAGTTCAAGTACCAATTAACAAATTAGAATGACTGCTTGCTGTGGTATCAGGAAATCTTTGGTTAAAAATGGAGTTTTAATGTGTTTATTTGGTGACAGTTCCAGAGCAGTGGTTAAATCAAAGGGTCTCTGCTGCAGTAAAGCAGACTTGTGTTCAAATCTCTGTTCTCCCTTTGCTAGTGTGTGTTTGAGCAAATTATTTAACTTCACCAAGATTCAGTCTCCTCCTCTGAAAATTGAAACAATAAGAGTATCTAAATCACTCACTAGCTGTGAGGACTAAATAGGTTAATACTGGCATAAAGAAACCTCTTAATAAATAATAGCTGTAATGCCATCATGCTATAATAATAATTAATAGTAGTAGTAATATAGGAAATGTGGAATTGTATCTGGTCCTGAAAATACAGTCTCTTGTATGATAAATGGCATTCTATTTAGACCATCCAGCCGTTTAAATATGTCAGTGGTATTTTTCCTTTACAAATAATGTCGGTGTTGGAAACATTCTGTGTCCTCACGCAATTCAAATGCTATTCAAATTCAGATCCTACCAACCCCTGAGGGGATTTGGGGAATTTTTGGGTAACATAACAGGTTGATGTTTGAAGGTCCTTCCACTCTATGTTTTTGCGTGATTATGACATCATCCATCATGCCTTATTATAGGTATTCATAGCCTTGCTAACAGTTCACTTGCCCCCATCTGAGGTTCAAATGACAATTTATGGTGGGTAGGTAAAAGTAAAAGATGAATTTATTTGTTTTACCACCTGCTGGTTTCCTCCAGAGAGACAGTATCGAACGAAGTAATGCTTGTTGGTTGTTTGGTATTTGGGAGCTGTTTACCTGGTTACCTTTTGAGGAAACGAACTTCACATGCAGTGGCAGCACAGTTCTGATTACAAAAGATTGAGAGCAATTTATTCTAAATATCCAATTTATAAGGAAAGTCAAGATGTTGAACTACCCAGGAGGAATTAAAGTGCAGTGAAAATTGAATTAAGATCCATTTCTCTTCAGTGTATTCTAAAATTCTTAGAAGCATTTAGGTTCCAGTTTGGGCACTTGCTTTACAATATTATTAATATTAACTCATATACAGGCTAAGATGAATAACTCCTTCTCATTATAAGACATGATTGTGTAGTTCAGAAGGGTTTCTTTTCTCTAAGTGTTGTCTCCCAGGTTTTTCTTTTAAAATAAAATTGTTGAAGTGTTTAAACATATCCTCTTTGGCTAAAAATCAAAAGAATCATGCAGCTTCAAGGTCATCTGTTAGATCCCATTTACTTGCTGTAAGAAGGAAAAGGAAGAGAGAGTCCTCTTTTAATAGGCTGGAGTATAATTCCAGATTCAGAAACTCTCCAGTCTAGTGTTTTCAGAATTGCCACTACAGAACCTGTGTGTGTATGTATGTGTGTGTGTGTGTGTGCGTGTGTGTGTGTCTGCTCACACATGCACGCACACACACAGGAACACTTGTATCTTCTACTTTTCTCTTTCTTAGAGATTCAATTCTTTAAGCTGTTTTTTTTTCAAGATAGTAAATGCACAGTTAAATCTTAAGTGTCATAAAAGCAGACCGAGACCTTGATTTCAATCAGGAGGTCAAGGATCCACACCTGAAGAGGCTGCCAGACACTGTGTACACATGCTATTCAAAGAGATGGAGCTAGTCATTGCTGTTGAAAAGTGTGTGTGTGCATGTGTGTGTGTGTCAGTAGGAGGAGAAAAGGGAAGGTTAAGGTATGTGTGAAGTAAACACAAGCTGCCGTAAAACAGTTCAAGTGGTGTTGATTCATCAACCAAGGGAGTGGGAGGAAAAACAAAGAATTCATGGCAGGTATAATGGTGTACAGAAAATAAACACCCGGAGAAGTATATTTTATTAACTTTCGACCCTCAGAGAAAAGGAAGTGTCGGACCTATCCAGGCACATTTCATCTGAAAGAGGCTTTGTGCTATGAATAGATGTCACTGTGGGAGTTCCTATCTAGTAGAATCCACTTCTCATGGGAAAGAAATTATTTTGTTTGTAAAATTTCTGTTTTTGTCTATCCATTTTCAAAATAAGAGAAGTAATGAGTTTCAAATCTGGAAATGAGTAGTAGCAAAAGCAGAATTCTACCTTAGGGCTCTTCCTGAGAACCTGGAAGCCAGAGTTCCGTGTCCTTCCTTGCCCCCCTACCCACCCCGTTTCCACCCCCAAATTACCAATTTACATGTATCCTGCTGATATAATGTATAGAAGAAAATCTCATGCGAACTTACTAATGTCCCAAACTAAATGCAGCTACATTGTTAAATATGTTTCCTATTATCTGCTAATGTCTGTTTTAATAAAACAGTGGGAACTAAATGGTTGCTTCTTAATCAAAACCATGATTTCCTAACATAAGCTATGTGATTCTGTTACAAATTGCCACATATAGATCTCCTCGGTCAAAATTTTTTTCTCTTCTCATAGAAATAAATAAACAGTAAAATAATTATATACTCTGAAAGATCAAAGTAAATATGACTAAAACCTGGCAAAAATAAAGTCTACTGGGAGAATTAAAAAAAAGGATCAGATTGCAAATTCTGTAGTTAATGCTTAAATAAATATGAGAAAAATGAACAATCAATAATTTGATATCATTAAAAACAGATGTAAAAACTATATACAAATGGAATTGTCTGAATTTTGAAGTAAACATTTTAATGTGCATTTTTTGAATTTGTTGTTATTATAGCTAAACTATTTACACTTTTTCTTTAAAATGTCCTAAGTTAGTTTGGCTTAGCATGTTAACTTTATTTTCCCCAGTGATCACAGCCAAAGTACATTCTGTTTACCTTTTTTCTTTAATTTCAAAGACAATCATGGTTGACACAGACATATTTGAGTTAACATTAGTGTTAATTCAGAATGGGTGGGGAGAGAGAGTTGGCATACTCTGCTTTTAACATCCAGAATTATGAACCTGCTTCCCAGGAATTTTTGATATTGAATAAAATGAAGTGGGTAGATAGGGTAGTAGGTTGGTTTAGACAGCATTTTTTATTACTGTTCATCTAGTACTGTAATTGCTTCTGGCCTAGATTTTACAGCGTAGAGCTCGTAAGCTCCCAAGTATAAGGAAAAAAAAATGTACATACTGTGTAAAAGCAGGGGAACAGAAGACCAATATTAACAGTTGTTTAATGTGTAGGAGTTTTAATGTTGGACACAAGGTAATCCACAGGGACCTGGAAATGTTCATGCTGCTACAAAATTATTTTTAAGAATATTTGGAATTATGTGGACTTTATCCCATCAATTTTTCTTTCATAAGTTCTGCAAATTTTAATGAAACACTTATTTTTTTAACCTAACTCTTTTCTATTAGCTGTGTAGATGTAAACTTGCCTCATCATTTTTATGAAACTAAGTGGCAATTATATATGCAGTACCATCAGAAATTATGCTCTATGGCAATCTACTTCTGCAGGGCATCTTCTAAGAATAAAAAAGTGCCTTAACAAAGAAGGACTCATATATTTTAAATGCTTCCTAATTAAAAATTAATGAGTTAAAATAATGTTATATCTAAAGTGTTTTTCATCTGACACCAAAAGCAAAATGAAGTGTCATCTTTGGTCAGGTCAATCTCAGCTATTTAATATGTCACAAGAATTAAGGGGTCATTGCAAGTTCACACAAATACTAGTGGATATTGTAAAATTATTTGTGTCATAAAATAATACCACTAGAATGAATGGACCTAACCAAACCCCATATTTTGGCCAGAAAGCAAAATTATCCTCATCACTTTTCTTTTCTCAGTCATTGCTCAAGAACCCCCTGACTGTTAGTTGTCTTAATTTTATTTATTTGAACTTATTTTGCAAAATATTAAAAAGCTGGAAGAAATGAGGATTTTAAAAAACCAGTGTTACTTTTCCAAGCCTGGTTTATTCTAGTAATCAGTATTTTATCTGACCCTGTCTGATCTAGTCTTGCAAGATCAAACGTCCAGGCCAGCAAGCAGACAGTAAACAAAGCCCGTGAAGGGTTTCAGTAAACACAAAGATTAGATGTTGAATGAAAATTAAACTCCTTGAACTAGTCCTCTGTACTAAAGTGGTTAAGTGGGTTGTGATTAAAAGAAATAAGTAATTATGATCATTATAGCTGAAATGATATAATGTTACCACATTTAAAGCACCTCTTGTACCCAAAAATGATTGTGTCATTTACAAAGTGGTGCCTCAGAGTTGAATAGAGAAATCAGTGTCCCCTGACCTGGTTCCATGAGGCAGCCCCTGCTTAGCCATGGTGGTATCGGTGGTCAGGACAATGCCTTTAATCAACTGCCGGTACTTCTCCCTCTGCTGTTGTTTAGCTCTGATGAGGTAAAAGCAACTTACTTTTGTCTACCTAATTTTTCTGAGTCGTGAGAGAAATTTTCTTCCAGCTTTGGATCTAAATGAAGGTGTTCAGCAAGGAAGTTTGTCCCTCTGCCTGTATTGTATCTTGCTTAAAGTAATGCCAACATCAAATCCTTGGCTTGTATATAAACCCTTGAACTTATATAAATTTTATATAAGTGTTTATGGAAATAGAAACACCACTTCCACAACCAACCACTTTCCATCTT